AAAACCTTTAACGCGGCCTCATTCTGTATTGCCTTTTTCTCTCTTTACTGTATATGGAAACAATAGCTCATCTTGTTAATGTAATAGCATACAATAAAACAGTAATAATGATGAGGACCTATCATATTTCACATAGTAATAATAGATAACAGAGACTGAAGGACTGGAATGTGAAGATTTGGACATTTTCCACTTTAGGATTTGGCATCTCTGGGATATTGTGTTTTGTATTAGTTATGTACAGACTGCTGTTGTTATATCTTAGAATGCAACTGGGGAAAGAAGTTATGATAAAAATATTCTGTTATGCACAAACTTTTTATTTTATAATTGTTACCACATGAGTAGTGAGAGCTCTCATTTGAGCCTTTTTATTTCATTGTTTGGCTTTGCCTGTATTTGTGGATGTGATGTAAGGTGGCCAATTTAGCATCAAATTAGCTTTAGAAAAAAAGTTCAGGTCAGTGAGACAGTCTGCGTTTTTATGCGTGCCAACATGAGCAATGCCTGAAGGACTATAGGAAGCTGCTTTTTGCAATCCAATGCATGAGCCAACTGGACGTCCAGTGACATTGGATCTGGATGATCTTCCTTCATTTATACCTTTTTTTTTATGAGTTTTTGTACTTCCTTTTGAGGGATGAACAAGCAACGCATTCTGTAGCCATTTTAAATAAGGTCATTCTCATAGTGTCTGTAATAAGAGCTTGAATATAAGTTGCTGTGAGCATAGATCAGGGATTTATACAACACACACAAAAAAATCTGAAGTATAATCGGTCAACAGGGAGTCAGTTTTGGTTGGAGAATTTTGAAGCTGCAGGAATGTTTTTTTGTATTTTTATTTTTTTTTTCTGGCCAGTAGCTTACAGGGTTCTCCATGTTGTGTTCATAAAGGTTTAACTGATGCTTCTGTATATCTTGTCTTCCTTTCATTTGGAAAAAAAAGGTATTATAGGTTGCTATTTTTTTAAGTACAAAACATTAGTTCATGATTAAATGCAACAAAAATGGGAATGTGAAAGCCTTTCTTTTTTTGTAAAAAAAAAAAACAACATCTCTAAGTTACAGTTTAATTGGAAGTTGAATTGTGTGAACTGATGAATTTTTCTTTTTAACTGTAAATAATCACATCTGGATCTAAATAAATAATGTTATAATTATCTTATCTGAAGTAAAGCTGTGTCTGACTTTTTTTCCCCGCACATTATGATTGTCAAACAGCGCCCCCCACAGTTGAATAGTTTTGTAGGGATTTACAAATAAAAACATTGAATTATATTCATATTCTATTGCACTTGTATACACACACTGATACAAATTTTATTTACAGAAAATTTATTTGGTGAAAATAGAAATTATTCCACATTCGGAAATGGCTGTCTTCTGTTGCCTTTGTTTTTATGGCACACCAACCTGGTTTGCTGATGCAGTAAAGCTTCATCTCATCTGAAAGAAAAAATACTAGGCTACTCTTATCCATTTACAAAAAAATATATTTTTTTTATCTATTTCTCTAATTTAGATTGCTAATGGGACTTTTTAACCACTAAATATGCTTAGTGTGAGGTTAAAATTGGCATAATGTCAGAATACTTCATTATTTCACCAGATTTACCAAAGGTGCTAATGTTTCTATGGCATTGCATTTATAATACAATGAAATATGAGGGTTTTTTTTTTATATTTTAATTGATATGGGCAGTATGTTAGAAGAGATACAGATATAGTTTAAATTGCTTTCAACATAGAGTTTGATAATTTTTTAAATGCTGTATAGCTTGCAATAATTAGTATTAGTGATTTTACTATATTAACTGGGTCAGTCTGTCTGGTACCACAGTGGACCAGAGAGACCAGAAACATCACAAGTGGAATTCCTCAAGACTTCATTCTGGGGCCCCTTCTATTCAATATCTACATACTCCCCTTAGCTCAAATTATTGCAAACAAGATCAGTAACCATAACTACGCAGACAACACACAGCTTTCCATCACAATGCCACCAGGTGACTATGAATCCATCAGAGCGTTGGCTGCTTAGAACAGAACGTGGATGTGCCACAATTCTCTCCGAAGGAATAACAACAAAACAGATAATAATTTTCGGACCAAAGGAGGAGAGGTCCAGTGTTAACTCACATCTTCAATTACATACTACAGATAGAAACCACTGATTATGGCCAAAATTTTGTTGTCTTGATGGACTCAGTCCTGAACCTTTGCGCACATAAAGGCAATTAATCAGCCTTTCACCGGAAGAACATCTCCAGGATTAAAGGAATAATGTCCAACCAAGATTTAGAAAAACACATCAATACGTTTATCTTTAGTAGAATTGATTACTGCAACAGTGTCTCCATAGGTTTGCGAAAAAGGTCAGACAGCTGCAGCTGATCCAAAACCCTGCTGCCCGTGTTCTCACTAGAACTAAGAAAATAGAGTGCACCAGTCCAGTTCTGAAGTCCTTCCACTAGCTCCCTGTAGCTCAGAGAATAGACTGTAAATCCTTCTGTTAGTCTATAAATCAATGAATGGATCGCACAGGAATACATGTATCAACCCCCCTGGCCACACAGGTCCTCTAGTTAAAGCCTACTCTGTACACCCAGAACTAGAACTAAACATGGAGAAGCAGCATTTAGTTCCTATGCTCCACTTATCTGGAGCAAACTCCAAGAAGACTGTGAATTTGCTAAAAGCCTAAGTTGTTTTAAGTCAAAGTTAAAAACCCATTTGTTCAGAGCTGCTATTGACTGTTAATCTTTTAATCGAGGTATCAGTTTAATTCATGTAAAGTACTTTAAACTGTCTTTGTACTGAATTGTGCTATGCATAAAAAAATGTGTGCCTTGCCTTAGATTTTTAGATGGTATTGCAACTTTAATTTGAAACATTTTCATTTTTTCTTTACATTAAATTTGTTTCAACATCTATTGTATCTAAAATTATTCAATATAACATATTAAATGATATATTGCTTAAAAACAAAAATATGATATATTTTCTACTGTAAATGAAGTTGAAAAAAGTTAATAAGTAAAAAGACAAAGATAAAAAGCTAATTGAAAAGTTAAAAAGTAAAGTTAAAAGGTTAATAAGCCTCTAAAGTTTTGCTGAACCTAAAATAAAAATGTGTTTCTTTCATGAATTACCTACAGAGATGATCTAAAAATGAGTGAAAATGTCTAAACATAAGTATATTAATACTTAATTTGAGTAGGTAAATAAGAATCTCCCAGTGGAAGGAGCATTTTTATCCATCAAATCATATTATTGGACATTATGCACTTAAAATAGGAGACTGCATTGTTTTCCCCTTATTTTAAATGTAAATTTTCTTATTCCATTTGCAAAGTATCTCACTTACTTGTTCAGTTCAAGAAAAAATGCACTTATTTAAAGAAAAAAATACGTACTTACATTTCAGTTTTTTGCAGTGCACTCTTTGCTTGAAAGTTAAAGTCTTTCACTGAGTGCCCTACGTATAAAAGATTTAAAAAGTGTCGCCTTTTAATGTCGAGGAAACAGGAAGCGATTCTTGTGGGATGGAAGAGGGAAATAGTGACAATGAAGGTTGGAAAATAGCAACATCAAAAAATGAGAAAAAGCGGAAAAAACAGAGATCAGTTCAAGGGGAATCTAGTTCAGAACAATCCAGTGATGATCATTCCATACATTCCACAGCACAACAAAATGAATTCAAAGTCATATTCAAAGTCGTTAATCAGGCAGACTCTTTTACAAATTGGAATCCGGTTCACTTAACAAAAACCATCAATAAACTTGTCGGAGAAGTCAAAGGTGCCAGAATTCTGTACAGTGGAGACCTGCTAATTAACTGCAGAGACAGCGCCCAGCAAGGCAAAGCAATACGTATCAACAAAATTGACGGGATAAGAGTTCAGTGCAGCCTAATGGAGAACAAAAAGATCAGCAGGGGAGTCATTGGAGGAGTTCCTCTAAAAATTTCTGAAAAAGAGATTCTGGAAAACATAAGCGGTGCAAAAGTAAAAGAAGTAAAACGGTTAAAAACAACAAGAAACGGAGAAAGATCTGACAGTTTATCTGTGCTAATTAAATTCGAAGAAGAGCAATTACCAAGCAAAGTATTCATCGGTTACATAAGCTATAATGTCAAAATCTACAATCCTCCACCATTGAGATGTTTCAAATGCCAAAAATTCGGTCACGTTGCAGCAGTTTGTAAAGGGAAACAGAGGTGTGGAAGGTGTGCAGGAGAACATGAGTACGGAAAATGTGGAAAAGAAGCTAAAATAAAATGCTGTAATTGTGGTGGAGAACATACTGCTGCCTATCGCGGCTGTGAAGCAAGCAAAAGGTCTGAGGAAATTAAAAAAATGAAATTTGAGCTCGGAATAACCTACGCTGAAGCTGCAAAAAGGATCCCATCTCAGTCAGAAAAACCCAAACCTACAGTTCAACACACAGCAAATTCCAAACCTCTAGAGAAATCTCCAAAAATTAATGAAGACTCACTTATTGTTAAAAAGACAAATTTTGTTCTTTTCATGGTAGAAGTAATTAATTGTACTGCACAGACAACGAAAAAAAAACGGAAAAAATCAAAATAATAGTGAAGGCTGCAGAAAAATATCTGGACATTAAAGATTTGAACTGGGAGATGGTTGGAAGTATGATGGGAGGACCGATGGGACCATCAGAAACTGGCAGAGTTAAGATGACCTAGAGTAAATTAAAATTATATGGGCAAATGTGATTTAGTATTATGTTGGTTTAAGTTACACAGGTTTTTTTTTTTTTTTTTTTTTTTTTTTTTTTTTTTTTTTTTTTTTTTTGGGGGGGGGTGAATCGTTTCCTGTTATCTTGCTTTACTCCATATCAGTTGGTGGCGGTAATGCACAATTCACAAGTCTGCCAACCGCCATAAAATCCCATAAGAAGAAGAAGAAGCCTTTTAATGTCTACACTTTTAGGGGCCAGCTCGAAGCGTCGCTGTCTCTTTAAGAAAACGTGCGTCCTGCACGTTCCGCAGAACGTGACGTGTATGCCGCGTGTGAAAACCGGGAACAGGCTGTGAATGTTCACCTCTGCTCAAATTACGGACTGAGACAACTTTTAGGGTGAGTAAATAACTCAAATGTAATACTTTAGAACTCATCACGATAAGGTAACATCGATTAAATTAACCCCTCATCACCATAGTTCACGGCTGAGGGTTAGAATGTTATTTTTGGTTTGTTTTTTAACCGCTCTTCATTCATTAACATCTGTGATGCTAGCCACGAGCTAGCTAGCTAGCTTTGACTTCTGAACACTAGAGTTTCACATTTGTCTGAAACCAGTGGCTCGTTCTTGTAGAAGTATTAACTGTTGTTTTGTTTTCAGTTTGCTGATAAGCTATGCTATTTTGTTTCACGGGTTATTTAATGTTAACGACTATTGTCTACAATGTTAGCTACATTTAACCAGCAGACGTGTGAAATGCTGTTCCACGCAGCTGAATGCAAGAGTATTCTAAATAAGGACGAAAATGATAAATCGGCATGTATACATTTGGGTAAAATGAGCAATTGGGATCATTTCATTGGTGTAAAGAATCTCAGACCATAGTTAACACATTTTAGTGGATTACCCATGCATGGTACGATTGGATGGTGCTGTTCGCCAGAGTTTGGGAGCAGATGTGGAGAAGGTACAGATATTTCCTGTGTAAAACGATCCTTTAACAGCTGTTGAATTCCATCAGCCACTGCTCGGTGAAATAAAGGCTGTTTGTTGTCTGTTTGTAGGAGTAGGGCTAGAGGAGAACTTTAGGTTTCTATTTAAGTCCTAAATTTGAAAGTTTTTTAAAAATAATTTTATGCATCATATTGCAGACATCTGCATGTATATCTCTTGTTCATTTATTTTTTAGAAATTTTCGGATGTTTTAAAGATAATTCTGGTTTTCCAGTGTGCCTTATTTTCTACAGTTTGAATGCATTGCTGCCATGCCTGCCAAAAAGACCACCACCAAGAGGAAGAGTGCACTAATTACTGAAGATGCTAACGACTCCAAGAAAACAAAAGGTAAAATGGATAACTGAGTTGTTATAGAAGTTCTAAAAATCCTTTAGGATTACTTCCAATCATTCAAAGCATGCATTGTATTCAGAATTTCTTGATTTGTTGGCAATAGACAGCATTTGATTAGAGTTCAACTTTGACCATATGGTACAGAGGTGTAGTTATTTCAGATTTGACCTTTTGTTACTGAATTTGGCTGATTTCTTTTAGCTCACAAATGTGTTTCTGGCTATTTGATAAAAATAGTAATTTAGAAATTAAGCAAACATGGAGGGGTCAAAATAACCACATTAATAGATTATAGTAGGTACATTTAACTTTTGTCTAAAGTTTTTATATTTTTATGAATGTGTCTTTGTAACTCAAAACAAATTTAAGAGCACATTTTAATTGTTGTGTTAAAGTTCAGTTTTACTTGGTGCTTATCACACCAAGAGGAACCTGGCTCCAGCTAGACAAATATTCCTGCTGTGATTACCCAATCCTCTTTCTTGGAGTGTGTTTTTATCACCTGGTTGTTGATCAGTTCATGTAAAGAAGAACAGATAACCTTTGTTTTGTTTTTAGCACCGTCTATTAGAAAAGCTGTGCTGTGCCTTTAATGAAGAATGACCTTTCATGAGGTTGTAGTTCATTTATAATCTCTGTTTGTGTTCCAGTGTCACACAGGAGTCATTGTAAAGAGGCGGGTCAGGTTCTAGTTTTGGGCCAGGGTGATGTTGGACAGCTGGGGTTAGGTGAGGACATCACTGAGAGGAAGAAGCCAGCTCTTGTCTCACTACCTGAAAAGATTGTGCAGGTGGTGGCAGGAGGCATGCACACAGTGTGTCTCAGTGAAAGCGGTCATGTAAGTCAGCATTTATCTTTTTTTTTTTTTTCATTAAGGTTGCAGAAAGGGGAAAACAGAATATCTCAATTATTGATTTTTCTTTTAAGATCTACACATTTGGCTGCAACGATGACGGCGCTCTGGGTAGGGACACGTCAGAAGAAGGATCTGAGATGGTTCCTGGTAAAGTTGCGTTGAATGAGAAAGTAGTCCAGGTGTCTGCAGGGGACAGCCACACTGCTGCACTCGTAGAGGATGGATCGGTGTATATCTGGGGCTCCTTCAGGGTTTGTTTGTTTATTTGTTATATCTTTTATCATAAATCAACTTCCTGTACATTTTGAAACCTGTGTGTGCTGACTATTGTCTCCTTTATCCATTTTTTGTGTGAGAGATGTTTACTTTGGGAACTTAAATTCAGTTAGCATGATATTACAAATCATTTAATTGTGAAATGCATTGGATAAGGGATGATTATGTCAATAGACCATTTGATTATTGCATTTTTTTAATCTTTCTACTGTGCTGCTTTTGCTGAATTATGTAATATTAAAAAGTTTTGGTTTGACAAATGCTATTGTTAAAAAAGCTTTGCCCTCCCATGTTTTTAGCCCCACTTTTCATTTTTGTTATGGCTTTTGCTCCTCCTTTTTTTTTTTTTTTCAACTGAAGTTTCTTTTACTGAACTTGACATTTTCCAGGACAACAGTGGTGTTATTGGTCTTCTGGAGGCTATGAAACCATGTCCTGTTCCAGTCAAAATCCCCCTCACAGAACCTGTAGTGAAAATTGCCTCAGGTACACTATACTTGATTTTACATTTATTCTGTTTCCTAGTTTTGCAGGATAAGCTAACTCATTTGCTTGTTTTGAAACAACTGAATATCCAATGATAGGTAACGATCATTTGGTGTTGCTGACATTGGATGGAAATCTGTATACATCGGGGTGCGCAGAGCAGGGGCAGCTGGGAAGAGTACCAGAGCATTTCTCCAACAGAGGAGGGAGGAAAGGTCTTGGTGGGTAACTTTTATAGCCCATACCTTGTTTTGAACCTTTAATTTTATACAATGGGAAATCTAATGATCCTTCCCTTTCAGAGCGACTGCTGGTCCCACAGATGGTGAAGCTTAAAGGGAAAGTTCACTTCACTGATGCATTCTGTGGAGCCTATTTTACATTCGCTGTGTCTACTGAAGGATATGTGTACGGATTTGGTCTTTCAAACTATCATCAGCTGGGTAAGTATGGGGTTTTTTCTGTTTGGAGAGATCATTGATCTGTTCTCATGGAAGTTTTATATGCAACTCTATAGTCGACTGTATAACTATCAGCACCATTTACTGAACTAATTCACTTTGATAGTCAAAGTTCTTAGCATATTAATGTTCAATAAAATCTAAAATTTTTCTGCATCTGTTCAGGCACTAAGAGCACCAAGATGTGTTTTGTTCCCGTAAAACTGACGTGCTTCAAGAACTCTACCACTGCCTGGGTGGACTTTTCTGGAGGACAGCATCACACGCTCTGCCTTGATGCTAAAGGTAAGCAGACAACGCCTTATGCAGGCTTTCAGATAAATACACACTGACTCTGGTTAATATTATGTAGACACAATGTTATTGTTGAATAAAATATATATATATGTGAGAAAAAAAATAATCGTTTTGCCTTTTTTTATTGTAGGGCAGGTTTATAGCCTGGGTAGGGCAGAGTACGGTCGCTTGGGTCTGGGTCCAGGAGCTGAAGAGAAGAGTGAGCCAACTCCTGTGATAATGGATCCAGCAATGGGAGTGTCATGTGGAGCTTCTGTCAGCTGTGCTGTTACCAGAGAAGGTGAGGAACTAGCTAAAGGCAGTTATTGTTTTTCAGCGTGATCATGGTTAAGAGCTCCCTGGGTTCGATTTTACCTTGGTATCTTGCTATGCTTTCGAAGTCTCGTCAATTTAACTTTTATAAAATTTTGGTGCGGAGTGTCTCTTGATCCACATAAACATGTCAAGTCCCAACAGGACATGAACAAGTAACTTTCATGGTCGGTTTCGTTTTCCACCTTGTTTTCCTAGCTGTTGTTTCAGCTGCTCTCTCTTGCTCTTCCCCTGGCTTGATTTAAGCATGGAAAACCTTCAAGTTACTTATGCAGATTAATATATTCTTAACTCAGATCAGTGCATATATTAATGTTTCATTTCTTCCTATTCTCTTCTGTCTTGTTTCTAAGGATCTTTACTTTTTCTTGGGCTTCATCTTTGTACCAACTCGTCCAGTATAATGAAAACACAGGACTCCTGCGGAAAAGATCCACTGGATTTTGTTTCGGCAATTCCATTTAAACTTTTTAGTGACGAAGTTGTCTTGTTAGAAAAAAATAATAATCTTAGCCTTACTGTTAGTTTCTATGCGTCTCACGCTTGGTCAGTTAGACCTTTAAAAGCTTCATGATGGATTCTTTCAGAGGGGGAGTGTGTATTTCCTGATGATAAATGATACAATTATGGGAACCACCTGCCGGCTGATTCGTTGGTGCATCAGCAGTTATGCTTGCTATTTAGCCGGAGAGGACCTGTAGATTTCTATTTGTTTGTGAATTTTATTGCTTTGTTTTCTTGCTTTTTTGTTCAGCTATAGAGATTCATGCTGGACTCAATGCTACTGGTAGAGTAGAGTTTCTCCTCAGTCCATTTCCTGGTCTCTGTTGTGGAAGTAATTGTCCAGGCATTTCTGCTTTCTGATAAAGTGTTAGACCTGTGGTGTTTTCCTGAGACGTGTAAACAATCTAAAGAGAAGCTGGGTTACTATTTTAACACCAGAAAGCGGGAAATGTTCTACTTTAAGAATGTAATGATCTTAGATGAGACTCCCTTTAATTCTCCATCTTGATCAAATGTTTATTTTAATTTTTTTGTTCCCTTTCCCAAATTATGATTTTGTACATTTTGTTTAATGCTGCACTTGACTTCTAGTTGTAATTTTGTATCTCCTTGCTGACCTACGGCCTTGTTTTCCTCACCAACCCCAAACTACAGGTTCTGTGTATGCCTGGGGCATGGGAACCAACCTGCAGCTCGGCACAGGAGAGGAAGATGACGAGTGGAGTCCAGTGAAGATGACCGGGAAGCAGCTAGATAACCGTGTAGTTCTGCTAGCTTCCAGTGGAGGGCAGCACACAGTCTTACTTGTTAAAGAGAAGCAGGAAAGCTGATATCCACCTGACACACAGCTGGAATAGTTTTGATCATTTTTGATGGGGCCTGTTCAGATTTCATATTCAGGAGCCTATTTGTGGCTCTGTGCTTTAGGAGAGCAATGTTCAGACCACAAAGGCCAGAGGAGACTTGGCGTCTTTTAGTAGAACTTTTCTTAACATGGGTGAAAAGTACATGTTTTTGGTTAATCAAAAAACTATTTTTTTAATGTGTTTTTGTTCCTTTAAATTCCCATTAAACCATTTTGTATGACTGTGAGGGTTTAGTGTGTTTGTGAAAGAAACTGCATGTTCAAAAATGAAGCTAGAAGCTGTTGGATTAAGCCACTGAATGCTAGTTTTTAAAGTATTTTTCTTAAGCAATAACTTGATTATGATTCAGACAGGACATTCATAATGAGTTTAAGATGTGCAACTACTGTTCATGTCATATCTGCAAACACAGCTGTTGTGACTGGAAATTTAATAACACATTTTGGTTTCTGCATCTTGTTGCCTTTCCTGTCTGACAATAAAAGTGATTTTTAAAACCTGTTTTTAATTTGCAGCATAATTTAAATTTCGACGTCAAATGCATATGTCCAATATTTTTGTTCTGAAAACACTTTATATTCAAGCATAGGCTCTACATTTTTATGTGTATCATAATGGTCTTTTGGGACAAGGATCTGAAAAGGAACATTTAATAGTCGTTTCAAACATTAACATTAGGTGAAAAAGTTCTAAATAAAGGTCGGTGTCACTTTTCAACAAAGGACAATCTAGATAAAAATGAAGTCAAAAAATGAAATAAAAATCTCAAATTCTCTTACTAGTGACCTATTTTATTTTTTATTAGTACTGGTTAAACTCCCTTATGCTGGAAGTCCCACCATACTACCAAATTATGGTATGTCAAAATACTAGTGATGTGTATCGACACCTTCATATGAAACTGAGCAGAATTCCTGTTTGTTTCTTTTAGTTATAAATTATTTTTGTCTTAACCAGGTTCCAAGGCGAGTGAGGATTGTTCTTTTGATTGATGCCCTTATGACAGTTGTACATTTAGGTATTTGCATATTACTCAAATCTTGTATCGCAAACCATTGGATAGAAAATTACTTTCAGTCTGAATCTTGATGTGTGTTGCATGTGAAATAAATGGCATCTTTGATTTTAGTTGAGCCTCTGATTAGACTGCACAAGAATTAAAGCTTCAGGTTTGTTTTTTCCTCTGGCCAAAATATATCCTTTCAAAACTAGTCGTGATCTATTGATCATATAGAGCTGTCTAGAAGAGAAAGATGTGTGTATATTTAATTTCACAGCGAAAACCTTAACTCGATGTAAGTTTATTGTTAGTTCCTGTAAAGAAGTGTTTTTCAACCCTGGTTCTCAGGGCCCACTGTTCATGTTTTGGATGTTTCTCTACTCAAGCACACTTGATTCAAATTATTGCATTTCCTCCTCGACCGCCTGCAAAAGCCCGTTCATTACCTTTAACCCAGGTCAGGTGTGTGAAGGCAGGGAGACGGGTTAACATGCAGGGCAGTGTGCCTTGAGGACTAGGGTTGAAAAACACTACTGTAAGGGTAGGTATGCCCCCTTTTAAGTTTTTATCGTTGTCGTTAAAAACTACTTGAGGTTCAGGATTTACAACCACCGAGTTAAAGGCATATAACACCAAATTAGCAATTGACCTAAACATGATTAGTCTTTCAAATCTAATGGACCCTACCTAAATGCAAACGATTTAAGTAATAACATTTAACTTCTTAATTAGCAAAGCAGGATTTTGTGCAAGGATTCTTATTAAAAATGATGGCACATGTGTGTGTGTGTGTGTGTGTGTGTATATATATATATATATATATCTTAAGGGGGATAAGACCCATATATTTAGCTTTTTATTAGCTCACCACCAGTCCAACTATTTTCTTTAAGTTTTAAACATGCACTTTAAGTGGTCTTCGACTCTCCATTAGAATAAAGCCTACTGAGCATCACTGCTATAGGGTCATTAATGAAAGCTAGATGAGGTCCTGTTGAGCCTTTAAAAAGAATAATGTAAGTGTATTGATCTTAAGTGCTCAAGAGTTTGACTCTGACTCATTTTATGTCCATTTCAATTGGAAACCGTGCATTCCAGACAAACAGTCATGCATTTTAATCAACAGAAAGGCTTAAAGGATATGAATGACAGTACAAGCACATGCATTAAAGCTAAAGTCTCATTTGTGAAAGTGAATTGCGTTCACTCGTCCCCTTTGGTCTCCTCTTCCTTTCATCTGACCAGCTGGACTGAGGATGCGCTGTTGGACTCCTGAGTTCTCAAGGTAAAAACAAGCGTCAGAAGGATGTGTCACATTAATTTAACATTTAGAAGCACTGAACTGGTCTGAGAGCATCAGTTGTTTATTTGCATGGTGCTGTGCCCTGATGGTCAAGAAATGTGGGCTCAGCTTTAACAAAAGACTGATGTTTGCACACCTTGAGATTTTTAAAAGATTATTTTTCTAGTACTTTGCTTCCTTATGGGTGAAACTGCAGCAGTTTATGTGGGTTGTTAGTCAAAGACCTTGACCGCTCCTCTTAGTGGGCATCATTCAACAACTTTTACTGCAGAAGTTTCCTCCTGTAACCATTTTTACCTTAATAACTTTTTGGATATTTTTTTTTTTCATTAATGAGCTCTTTTTTTTCCTATCTCACATACATGTTCAGAAGCTGCACCTGCAGGGCTTCCATAAAACAAAAGCTGAGAAGCAAACAGCATTTTAAAAATACGGGTTTTGACTTTTTTCAAATTATTGAGAGACTTCAGCTCTAAATGGTTAACAGGTGTCAAGGATGAATGCTTTTGTAAGCTTTGAAATAGCAGGAGCATTTAGTGATTTATAATGCTGGGGAAAATAAAAAAAAACCCTCCAACATTCCCAGCTTAAAAACAGGCCTTCTCACTGAAAGGCAGCAATGGAATCCTGTGATTAATTCCTTTCATTCACACAGGCTGAAAATGGATTTGTCATCATGAGTGTGGGCTCTAATGTTCTTCTTGACTAATCAGAAGGGAGACTGAGAAATCTCCGGCACCTGCACTGCTGCTCATTCAATCCTAATAACAGACAAAGTCCCATTAATCACAGCAGCCAACTGATCCACTACAGAACGCATACGTTCGGCTCTAAGCTGCATGTGTGGGTCGGCATTCATAACTGATTTAATAAAGGAGAGAAGCATTGCAGTTTTTGTTTCATTGTATGTAACTTGGAAGCTTTTAAATTGCATGGATGCTTACTTAATTACCACGCTGTTTAAATGTATATCTATTACAGTTCCTCAACTATGTTTCATTTAATAAGTGAAGTTTATGTTTAATCATATGGTGAATCAAGGATATTTTAATAAGAGGTACAAATAAAAAAAATTTGGGCATGGAACAGGGGAATGACGTGTTAAGCATGGCTGAACACAGGTGCAGTTATTAAGAATAACAAGGGTTATTGGAACCCATCCAGCGATGAGTCCGGCTAAATAAAAAATAACATAACACAGAGGTAACAGGGAAAATCATCACAAACAGAATCTAAACCAAAAACTAAGAGAAAAATAACCAGGAAAGAAAAAACAAAAACAAAAAACATAAAAACAAAAAAAAAAATACACAAGAGAAATTAAATAGAAAACACCTGGCACAAGTAAACAAACAGAACTAATAAGGCAACCAGAGACAACAGAATAAAGATAGAAAAAAGACAGAGATAAAAAAAAAACATAATGAGATCTTTTTGATTTTTTTTTTCTCTTTTCTAATTAGGACAGACAGTGTTCATTAATCAATGCGTCAACATATACTTTAACATAAATATGCCGATGTTAGCACCAGAGCCAAATTTCATTCGTTATCGTAAGGCTGGGGCAAATCATTTAACAATACAGTCATTTCTAAAGAAAGCAGACTCCAAACATCATGAAAAACAAACTGAATGTTATTTAAAGGACTGTAAAGTGGAAGGAAAAGTGAACATGGTGTATTATTTACAAATGAAAATCTTAAATGTTTAGCAAGAATTTCTGGCCTCTGTATTCTGATACCCTTAAATATAATCTAATGAATTCACTTCCATTCAGAGGTAACACATCTTTGTTCTTTATGCGTCTTTCTATTCGTAATCGTGAGTCGTATACTTGATAAAACCTCCTAAAGTGACACCTGTTAGTCTTTTAAGCCTTGATCTAGCTTTTTTGACTCTCTCCTTTGCGTATGAGCTCAAAATCACATTTGGTGGAGACCATTAATTCTCAAAAATTATTTTTTTGGTGGAAGTCTGGACTTTGACTTGGCCCTAATGGCACATTAGATAAAATGTATAGGGGAAGATTTTCGTGATTTTTTTTTAAAGATTGACCCTCTCCCCTTTAAAAAAAGCCTGCACCCGCTCCTGAGAGGGAACGGCTATTAAACGCTTGCGAGAGCATGCACAAGCCCATTTCTCCTTATGCACGCTCTGTTTAAAAGTTGCTGTTTGCTTCGCTCATACAAGCTTATGCTGATGAAGATTCTCAGTTATCCAGGTCATAGTCATTCCGTAAAAGTTTAAGGGAATGACTATGACCTGGATGACTGAGAATCTTCATCAGCAGAGGACCAGAGTGTTCACATTCTAGATAAAGAAAATAGGTGGTTTGAGAGGGGCGTGAAGGAAGCCATCTTTGTTAAGAGAGAAAAAACAACTTTAAACAGTGGTGGTGGACTCAGATTCCAGCTTCCAAAAACTTACAACTCAGTTATAGAGATGTTCCCTTCCAGATATCACCACACCCCCCACCCCATCACAGAGAAACTCTCTTCAGCCGGTGAACAACACCTCCTTAACGACAAACCTTTAACAATCATAGACAGGTTTCAGGTATTAGAGGAGACAATCCCCCCTTTAATGACCGACCTTCAGAATCATAGACAGGTTTCGGATATTACATGCTAACAATGAAACCAAACGGCCCACTCGTCTGTTTCAATTTGCATGTTTCCAAGCAACACAAGGCCTTGTCACTATAAAGACTCAAACTCATTTGTATTGAGAAAGCTTCCTGGAGGGGAAGCAAAACGTCTTCAAATCTTCGAAACTAAGTCCATTGGATTGTTTTTTTTTTTTTACTTTTACGGAAAGACATACAAGCTTACTCTCCAGAAGAAGGTTTGCAATTTTTCCACTATGTCAAACCCACCGCCAGTAAGTAAAAATGGGGACGAGCAAAATAAGTGGAGCTTATTTTGCTGATCTACTCCACTATACCTTTAAATCTAGTGCTATTTGTAGGTAAACCTCTACCCTAGTCTCGAGTCTTTAGCCACTCCAGTATTGCCTTCACTTAGCTCCATCAATCTTCCCATTGTGGGTCATTTGTTTTAACTTGTTATTTAATAACCCATGGGATCTTGATTTTTAGGGGACAAAATGTGAAAAAAATTCACAGGTATGAATACTTTTGCAAGACATTATATTCTATCCATGTGATAGCAGACATACAAAAAAAGGGGTTGATAGAAA